TTCTGCCTGCTGCACCGCGGTGCGCTCAAGCAGCGTGCAGATCTCGCGATGGACCTGATAGTCTTCAGGTGTCGCGGACTTCGGGAGCCCTCGGAGCAAGGCCACCATGGCAGCTATATTCTGGCTTGCCCGGGTGAAGTGTGGGAGACCGTCGTCGTCCTCGACGATCCTCCGGTTCATGTCACGGGCGATGGCGTGCGCATGCCCACCATCTTCGTGGCGCTCGATCTCGCATTCGAGCTCCGCGCGCACCTACTCTAGCTGGAGTCGTGCCTCCTCGAGCTCCTTGTGCCACGCCTTTAGCTGCTCCACCCACAGGCGAGTAAGGGCCCCTGCGTCCCCCTCAACCTCGTCATCGGGGTCATCCGTAGGAGTAGCTCCTCCCTCGTGGACGCTTTCGACGCATCCCTCGGGGGTGCCTGCCATGAAGCATTCTCATGAGGGGTGATGGCTTCCCCTGCTGGAGTCAGAGTCGAAGATCGTCTCTGAATCTCCTGTGAGAAGGTCGTGGAAAGATTCTGCGATGTAGTCTGTCATACCCATGAACTCATCATTTGCGGGGGATAGGTGCATGCGCCATGTTGTGAGGTAGGTCCTTGCAGCGTTGTGCAGACCGAACGGGAACGCTATCGGATCGTTCCGGATGAGGTATTCCAGGGAGAGCGGTTCTCCTCTGGCAAGCTGCATCATGACGTTGACGATCGAGAAGATGAGGCAGCGCAGACCCTCCTGGGATGGTTGGGGTCCCAGGAAGGTGTTGAGCTGGTGCTCCAACTTCTCGTAATCGAAGCCAAGAAGCTGGTCGCTTCCAAGGGCGTGGACTCTCTAGGGCGTGCAGCTGCAGCTCCTCAAGGGCCTCGACGATTGCGTCGAGGCCGGCAGAGTGAAGAGGTCGGGCGGGGATGGGAGCCCGCGCCAACTCTGCCTCTGTGGTGATGATGAAATCCAGGCTCCCAAAACGCACGTGCGCGTCCGGGACCCAGCTGATGTTGTGTCTAGCCATCCGTGTCCTGCTGTGGACGATGAGACGCGCAAAAGGCCCCTACCTAGCGCGCCAACTATCGGTGTTTCGAACCGCCGATGAGTAAATTTGTGATTGCGTGTCTAGGCCGGATGGTGTGCACGGAGGACACAAGGATTTATACTGGTTCGGATGGAACATCCCTACGTCTAGTCTGCTGCTGCTCGTGTTATCGGTACTTAGTTTGTAGTAGGGGTTACAAACGGGCGAGAGAGGGAGAATGTCCCAAGTCTCTGGTGAAAGAGTCGAGCGGAGTTGTGTCTGGTTGAGCTCCCCTCCCTAGGGCATCCAGCTTCCCCTTTTATAGATGAAGGGGAAGGCGCTGGTTACATGAGAAAAAGAGAGAGAGGGAGAGAGAGAAAAGCGAGGGAGAAGAAGGCCTCCAAGGTCGCGGCGTCCTTCATCTCCTTTATGCGGGTCTTTTCGGCCCTGTAGATGATGACGAGGATGGCTCCACGTCGCGGTCTTGTTCGTTACTGGCGCCATATGCAAGCCTCGTCAGCTGGTTGCGGCACTCCGCTTCGTCCCGGCGGGCGGCGTGGTCAATAGGTACTCCTGTCAGAAGCCGTACAGGGATTAGGCAGCACAGCGCCGGCACGCCCGACACTGTTGGCGACGTGAGCTCCCAGGTATGGTCCGTCGTGGCTATGGGTCACGTCAAGACGTGCCTGTTTCGTGTCAGAGGTTTGACCCTGGGTTCGTACTCCTGTGCCCGTAGTGGTTGGAGACGGTGCGGCCCCCGTCGGACCTTCATTCCCGCTGGAGATCGAATCCCGATCCCCAGGGTTGGGCGAGGCGGAATCCCCCCTCGAGGGGTCTGGCGAGACGGAGCCCGCGCCCTCGGGGTCAGGTGTGACGGAGCCCGCGCCCTCGGGGTCGGGCGAGGCTCTAAATACGCCTTTAACCATCCGGGTGAGTTGGCGTTCGTGACCATTAGCTTCCTTTTTTCGGGTATCCCTAATCCTGATACCCGACATTTGTACCGTTGTAATTCATTTTTATTATTTTAATTGCAGCGTGCACTGTTTTGGATAAATCTCACGTCTTGAACTCCTTCGGTAAAAGACAACCATGAAGGTGAAATTGTGAGGTTGATGTAAAGCCTTTTTGCATTGCTCCTCTCATGATCATCTCGTTTGTCTACATTATACTTTGTTTTTTCCTTGTTAACTATCCTTTTTAGTTGACTGTTTACAATAAGAGATCAAGAATGCTACCCATGCTTGAGTTCAGATCCAGAAGCAGCACCAAGAATTGATGCCATTCAATTTATATAGCTCTACGTGGTAAATTAAAGAGCATTAGTTCAGTTTTTGCAAACCCAGACTGAAAGATAAAATGATAGAACCATTTTTTAGCGGAAAATACATCAGGGGAGGCCCCACTGTAAACTTTTTATTAAACAAAAAAAAAAGGAAAAACAGCAATTCTATACAAGAAGAAACAAAAAGGGAAGCAAGCCCGAGGTGGGCAACAGAGCTAAACTAGAGCAGCTGTACAAGAAATGAAGACAGAGCACTTAGCAGAACTGAATCTATGGGCTTGTAGTATAACTTCTTCGTAGAAGGAGCTTTTCCAAGAATCAAAGGATGGCCAGCCTCTGTCAAATATAAAGTTGTTTCTCTACTTCCAAATTTAATGATAGAACCAATTAGTAATACTAGTAGCACAAGTACTTTTGTTTTGAAAAAGAGTAGCACTAGTACTTGATTTGTCACCATAGTATAAGCCGAGCTGTGATCCAAAAGGGAGAAACTCAAGCTCCCTTGGATGAAGGCCTTTTAGACCTGCAACTTTACATAGACAAGTGCATGATTTCGGTCATATTTAGTGCAACAGTCTAACATGGTGCATATGCATATCATATTGTGCTTGCCAAGATTGTGCATATTGGGTTCCTTACATGGCAGAGTATCTCCATATCTTGAGCGTCTTTTTCATTCAGATCTATCTGTCGTCACCCTGTTCATGTGTTTTAGCGGTTTTCTTCAGGGAGCATGTGTTGTACAATAGTTTTGGTTATCTAAGCCCTGTTTGGTTCCTAAATGGCTCCTAAAATTCCTGTCACATTAAATATTTAGACACATACATGGAGTATTAAATATAGACTAACTATGAAACTAATTACACAACTTGCGACTAATTTGCGAGACGAATCTTTTAAGCCTAATTAGTCCATGATTTGACAACGTGGTGCTACAGTAAACATGTGCTAATAACAGATTAGTTAGGCTTAAAAAATTCGTTTCGCAAATTAGCCTCCATCTATGTAATTGGTTTTGTAATTAATCTATATTTAATGCTCCTTATAAGTATCTAAACATTCGATGTGACATGAATTTTAGGAGCGACTAAAGAAACAAACACCCCCTAATTTACATGGAAATAATCTGAAGTGCAACTTGTTTTCTTACTTTAGTGTGACGAACTAAGGATGATATGTCAAGCATTCTTCAAGTATAAATTGTGAAATTATGAAACTCAGAGTTTGTTTTTTTGGTAGAAATTGTGTTTTGACAAGTGCATTTCTTTTTACCATAATTGAGATGAATTGCTACCACACATTGCCTCTCACATGGTTTTCATATTCATTGATGTAATTATTTACCTAGAGCCTCACATGGCTTTACAAGGTTATGTGCAGTTTTGCTTTTGAGGGTTCTTATTTTTGCAGCAACAGATATAGTATTCATCCTGAATGAATGCCCATTCAATTTTCAGTGTGCACCCTCCTGAATCTTTTATCATAATTAAAGCTAACAATGATTTTTGCTGTTAATTACCTTGGTGTGTGCGGCGACCCTTTCAGCTAAAGGATGTGATTTGTGGTTGTTAATTAGTCGTCTTCAAGTAGTCTGCCAAATAGACAACAGCATTCAAATGATTTTTGCAGGTGGTGTGGTGCACCCTTTCAGATCTAGCCCAGTTCACCATTAGCTCAGGCTGGAATATGGAATTCCAAACTGCACATGTCGTGCTGGCCCCGATCATTCCAATAATATTGGTTCATTTGATTTGAGTGTCAAAGTGATCCTTTTAAGGATAGAGCTATCTTGTTATCTATTTGTTGTTGACGGAAAAGATTAGAGATTGATGAAATTGTACATTTTCGTATTCTGAAAATTAATTAATTAAACTATAGTCCTCCCAAGTCCCAACTGTTCCATTGTTTTGCGATTTAATTTCACATGTGATTGATGTACGAACTACTCAAATGCTGATTGTAGCATAACTTTCACAGTGATACAACAAAGTTTTAGGGCGTGTTTGCTTTGTAACCTGGAAAAGTTGCCTGCGCCAGGCAAGGATCTCAGGCGTTCATTTTCCTACGCCTGCGGCTGAGCGAGCTGCCTGGCCAGGCCTCCCCAGTCCAGTATAGTAACCAAACAATTAAGGATTGGTGTTCGACATTTTTTATGATCCAATTAAAATAAGTATGTGGTTGGGGAAAAATATTACTAGACAAAAAAAAAGGGAAAAAGCCGGCCCCTCTAAATACTCAAAAAAGCTGGACACTCAAACGCAGAGAAAGTCGAATTCCGGCAATAGAAAACAATAGAAAAAATAGGAATAAAAAAATCGAGAAAACAAGAAAAAAACATCGGAATAAAAAAAAATCGGGCGGCTCATGAACGGACGTCGGGTGCGTGCGGAGGGGTGGGTGGGCAGACGGGCACTCGGCCCAGCCCGCGTGAATATAGCTCAAGAAACAACTATCCATCGTGTGGTATCATCCATCCATGGTTTCATGCGACAGCACATTTGGAAACCAGCATAATGTTATTTATTTGGGCGGCTCATACGATTCAGCAGCACAGTTCTTGACTTACATAACAAGTATATAGGGGTTCAAATATTAAACAAAGATTCGTCAAGGAATCCAGCTAAAACAAAAGCTTACGTCAGGTTCAGCAGAGTACGTAGAATAAAGACTACTTGTATGTACACGGTAGTAAAAGCTCCACGACCGTACGTAGGACTACTTGTACACGCTAAAAGCCCCATTACGGTACCAATATCTATTGGGCTTGGCTATGGCTGCACGTTCATTATTAGCTGCACCTTCATCTTGATCCATGAGGGTATCCATATCTTCACTTTGTCCAGCCCCCATCCAGCTGCCATTCAACGATTTCCCAACATCCTAGTGTGATCAGCATATATATTTACAAAGGTGGCAATTTAATTGTAACGACATGTATCAACATTACCTGTTTTGTGGTTGTTTCTCGCCATCTTTAACAATATGGGCCTCCGGACCAGGTAATGATGAATGAGGTTCTATCTTCTCATAATTTGTTCTGTCAAACACAAAAAGATTGGATTTAATAAAAATTATGTTGACTGAACCTCCTCCAGCTTGATTATTGAAATGTTCTAACAAATCTCAGTCAAGTGCAAAACAAAAACCTGTTAGCAGCACTAACAAAAACTTCAACACCGAAGAGAAAAATCCACACTTACCGTCCTGTCTTAAAATAGTTCAGAATTCGCAGAGAAGATCAAACGGCAGGTACGGAGTTCCCATGTTCCTATCATAGTAGTTCATGCCCATAAAATTGCCGTTGACATCAACAAGGGGCCCTCCAATCCCAGCCTAACCAGGTTAATTAAATGGAGAGGTTGTCAGTTGTGATGCCAAGTACATCATATTCATGCGGCAATTAAAAAAAAGAAAATCAATGGCGCAACCTTAGTGATTGTACATGCAGCGTAACGAAGATCATTGCAATCCAGTTTGCCTGACCACCTGGTACATTTCCCACCTGCAGCCATAACTAAATCTGGTTCAAAGTGACGGCCCACAGCTACTACCTTAGAATAATCCACCGTCTGATGTTTCAGATTCGCAGGACAATCAACATTATAATTCTTGACGCTGACTAGAGCAACATTGTAATGTAAACTATAATGTTCCAATTTCCCTTCACAGCGTTCATTGTTTGGAAGCAACGCACCTCAATCTGCAAACAATACTACGAGACTTAAAGCAGTGTCTTGAAAGAACAAGAATCGCACAATATAATTAGGAGCACCAACCATTAAGCCCTCAATAATTGTGCCATCACGATTCCTAACCAAGCTTGCTGATGTCAGAATAGCCGGGCATTTATCAGCATAGTAGTCAACGAAAAATCCCGTGCATGCAAATAATTTTGATTCACCTGGGCAACATAATTGTCATTAGCTAGTGACGACTAAATACAAATGTGAAATATAGTATAAGCACATTACAGTAAAATCACCATTGAACGAAGCAAGTGCAACAAGATTTCCACATATGTGAGGAGCAACTCCTTCCTTAAGTTCATCCCAGACACCATTAGGATATATGTCACCAAAAATCTTAATCCTACCTGGTTGACGAGACATCGTATAATAGTTAGTGGCACAGAAGAGCTGTAAAAAGGCTCAATGCATGATAAATCAGCAAATGTACAGGCATTGTGATTGACTATATCCAATGATGGACTGGGGTAACCGAAACAGTCAACCCAAATTATGCCTTGCTAATGACATGCTAATTCTATGTACAATATGCAACAATCACTTAAATTTCTGCAGATAAGATTGTAAAATTATAATATGATGGCATCTTGTGCAACTACTCATATTATAAGTGATTGTGTTTGAACAAATCCATGAACATCCCTATCCTTCAAGGAGCCAGTGATGATCATGATTGCTGTATGCACCCTCAATCCAGATCTTTTCTAGATGGACTAGCAAAGTGCACGTGTGTTGCAACAGCAATACAAAATCAAAGGAGTACATTTGTGTATATAGTGAACCTTGGTTCCGTGACGTCGTTCTAGGAGATTGGGGTGAGGGTGAAACTGATTTGTAATAAGTGGCAGCATGATGGGTAAATATGGTGGTGACATATAGGTGTACAGTGGTGGTGATGGCACACACCCCATCATCACCAACTCAGTCTTCTATAGGAGTTGAGATTTATGTAGATATGTGCATGTAGCATTTTATTTACTAAAGTATTGAACTATCTGCATATGTACATACTACATAGTCAGTTGATTTTTATAGGCACACTAATATCTGAAATCAGAGGAAATTTACATTATAAAATCAGAACCTGAGGTATACTTATTTGTGATCATAACGCACAGGCAATGCTAGTGCAGTAGTAAGGTAAGCGGATTGGCGCTAACATTACAATACAACTGTGGAGGACTATACTAGGTAAATATAAGTATAGATGCAAAGGCTTAATTTACACCACTGAAGGACCTTACAAATAGTGCTGGATCACAATTAAAAAAAGAAACATCTGATAACCAATGTCGAGTGGTTGGGTATTCACCTCCAGGATGGGGTAAAAGTTTCACACCTATGCGTCTTCGTCTTCTTTTATCCCTGTAGATGAAGATTAATATGAGTACTAACCCAAAAGGGACCAACATGAGCAGATAATGCAATAAAACAAGAAAGAACTAACACCCCGTTTGGATGTAGATATTGGAGCCCAGACTTTGGAATTGGAATCATGTTTCCTCAATGCTGCTGTTTGGATGCACATGGAATTGAGATTTGCCATTGGAGACCCAATTCCTTGGTATTGAACCTATCCCAATACAGAGCCGGACCCCTCCGTATTGAGTGGAATCGGGGCCTCTTCCCCGTGGCCGGCGGCGCGAGCGCGAGCGCCCTCTTCCCCGTGGCCCCCAATGCCTCCCTCTCCTTCCCCAGGTCCCTCAGGTGTCCACCGCCCCCGACGCCTCCCTCTCCTTCCCCAAGTCCGAGCAAGTGTCTGCACTCCCCCCCCCCCTGACGCCTACCTCTCCTTCCCCAGGTCCGGCAGGTGTCCGCCGGTCAAGGTGGCCGCCCCGACACCTCCCTCTCCTTCCCCAGGGCCGGCAGGTGAAGGTCGCCGCCCCTGACGCCTCCCTCTCCTTCCCCAGGTCCGGCAGGTGCTCCTACAGGAGTGTTGGGGTGGTGCGGTGGAGAGAAGACGTGTCAATTCTATGTACATCCAAACAATAGATTTGGTATTGTGAGTCATTTCCAATACAAGGCTGATTTGGTATCGGTACCAATTCAATGCTATCACCTTCAATACCTACATCCAAACAGACCCTAAGCAAATGATGTATACAAAATCTTAGTCAAGAGATACCATATCCCCAACTAGTTAGTCTCAACATAAAAAATTCTAACATATTTTGAGGTAGACAAATATATTGGCTTTAATATTTCATACAGAGGAATATTGCTACACTACAAGCCTACAATACAGAGCAACTGTGACACCTGCAATAAGACAGCTATCACCATTTGAAAATATCTTTCACTAGAGAGTAGACATACCAAACCATCAAGTTGTTATTAAGTGTAAACATTAGAAGCTGCAACTACATAGATAAACAAACTGGAAATATATTTGCATACCTGACTGGCTTCACCAGGTTTAGAAATACAATCTTTTTCAAGGATGTATGAAAATGCCCCAGACGTTCGAGAATTATACTCCTTGGCAAGAAAATTGGTCTTTCCATATCCCAGAAGAGGTTCATGCCAAAAAAGTTCCCATAAAAATAAAAAAGTGCGCAGCCCTGCATAGTCTACAAAAAAAAAGGTGGCAGGCTTTATTAAATTGATAAAGAATCAGAGTTACTCCCACCTTTATGTTAAAATTGTCACAGTTGATCGTCTTATGTAAATTCTAAATGCTACTGTTTTATCAACAATGTGTAAATACTTTAAAATGTATAATAATTTTGTATTATCTTCCACTGCAAATTCAACCAACACAAAATCCATTCAACTTAACTGTACAGTTTGATAGGTATTGGGAATTTGGGATGGATAAAAGTAAACAGAGGTAGTACAGTAATATTTTCTTTATTGAATACGAGACATAGTTCAGTTCATAAAGTAACAGAAAAGATTAGAACACTCAGAATAATGCTAGTGTACCTCAGATAATTTACATGTAGAGAACATAACATATCTATTATATTGAGATCCGCGTGAATCAGTGCATGTCCCACTTGTGGCCAATACTCCGCCAGAGATGTCACACCCGGCCTACTGCCAATACCTTTCTACCATGGGGGTCAAATTGCACCTGATGATTGAGAGGCATGCAATAAACATCAAGGACGGACATGACTTTGACAACAGCAATTTCATGATCCAAATCATATTCTTCCAGAAACCCTATGGCAACATTTCCTTCATGGCGTACTTCAATCTATATTGTTAAAAGCAAAACAGCACAGAATAGTCACGATTCTGTACAGTAAACAATAGCGATTAATAAATGATTATCAGCAGCACAAACCTCAAGCTTATCATGGCCATTTGCTTCAGAATCATGTAAAGCTCTAACCAAACTTGCTGAAGTCACGAACTTTGTGAAGTTACACTGGCGTTCTATAACTATGCCAGAGGATGCATATAGCACACTTTGTCCTACAAGATCATAATTTATATCATTCACAACTAAAGATTTGTAGACATATATTTTGAAAAAATTAAGGGTACAACAGAATAATCACCATTGGACAAAGCAATTGAGACAACACTTCTAGACAACTTTGATGCAACTTCCTCACTCAGCTCACTCCAGATATCTTGATTGTCCCAACATAAGTCACCAAATTAAGAAAACGTGTTACAACACACACATGAGCGCTCAAATAGAGCCATAATAAATAAAAAAACATGAAGACAAAAGAAGAACCAGCGGACCTGAAATCGACAAGTCAGTTGCCTCTTCTCCACTGCAATTTCTTTTATTATCAGCTGAGAATCTTGTAAGATCATCAGCACCCCTCTTACTTGGCAGCATCTTTCCAAAACTGAAGCAGAATTAAAGGCAAAATGTGGGTCATAACCAGTAAAGAAAACGTTGCTGGGTCAGTGATTCAATTTTTATTTATGCCATACTACTTTCATAAAGCAAACCAAAAGAAATGCACCGTCAACTTGATGGTTGTTAGTTTCTCACTTTTCAAATAATAACAACCAGTTTGTATTCTGTTGAAGGAACACACAGAGTGCAAAATATCATTGTAGTGAAACATATATATTAGTTCCCAACCAATATAGAGCACAAAAAAAAAAATCATATTTCATATTTGATATATGGAATTAAAAGGACAAAAAAATTCCGAAATATGGACCAAGGAATGAGCAACGAGAATAGCAAAACAACAGAGCCAAAACAAGCAGCAACGGATTCACAACGAACTACGTGCAATCTTGACCCTACATGGAAATCAACCACAAGCCAAACATCTCAAAAGTCTTTGAAAGAAACATCAAATGAGTACCGACACGGGAAAAAACACCCTGATTTTTCATCAGACTCTAACAAATAGATGAGCAAACCGTCAACACCAAATAAATCCTAGAAAGCAAGCACCAAACTAATTGGTCGATTTCCATGGTATAGAGAAACTGAGGGGAGCTAATCTACAATTTGCGGCTGACCTGGATTCATAAGAAATAATACACACACACACACACACACACACACACACACACACACACACACACACACACACACACACACACACACACACACACACACACACACACACACACAATCCAGCCCTAACAAGTTAATCAAGCACCAATAGGGAAAAGCACTATATATGGTTAAAGAAACCATCAAAGCTTCACTTCCACACTAAAATCCCTGATATTTTAAGAGATACAAGCCGGTAGATAAGCAATCAGATGAACTAAAGATCCAACAGAATCAGCTCCTAACCTAATTTCGTTTCCATCGAAACGAGATATCAAGGGGAGCCGACCTAATTTAGCGGCAGCAATATTAATTCATTACTCATCATAACCTTAAATATGTATTTATGTCAAGCTATGTTTTCACTAGTAGAGAAACGACCTTTGATCTAGCTCGAAATTTGGCTTTAGTCCCGGTATTTTTCGCGCCCGGGACTAGAGAGACCTTTAGTCCCGGTTTGTAGCTCCAACCGGGACTAAAGGTCCCTGCCCAACGGCTACTGCGGCAGGCTTTTGCTGTAGGGGACCTTTAGTTCCGGTTGAAGCTATCAACCGGGACTAAAGGTTAACTTTTACTCCCGGTTGGTACCTTAAACCGGGAGTAAAAGTCTACTCAGTGGAGGGCTCGTCCAGGGGCTAGAAAGTGACCTTTAGTCCCGGTTTCTGTCTCCAACCGAAACGAAAGGTCCCCTCCTATATAGCCCTTCTTCCTCCCCGAGCCCGAGCCACTTCGAGCTCAGTGTTCTTGTTTCATCGCTGGCCTCTCTTCTTCCTCATCGCCGGTAATCACAAGATTTCTTCGATTCCTCCATCGATTCTTCGGTTCTAAAGTTACCAACTTTATACTCTCATGTTTCATCAGTAGCATATCTCATTTTGTGGACTAGATATTATGTGGTTTTTTATGGTGGATTTTTTTTATTTGTAAGCCATTTAAGCTCAAAATCACTTTAAAGTTTGCATATTTGGATGAAGGAAGGTTAAAGTAGTTATTCAAAACTAGTATTCAGTTTTCATTTCTAGCATGCATAGCACACTTCATGGTTTAGAGATATAGAGAATTTTAGAGTTTTTTTAATTTTATTTGTTTATAAAATGAGAAATTTATATTATATTAAAAATGAGTATAGAGAGTAGATGGCAACTGCTTCCGGGTCCCTGGCCTCTCATCGGGTTCCAAAGCGACTGAGGCCGGACCTCCCTCTCATTGCATGCGGCAAGTGTGAGGAGAAGATTGTGATGGAGTACTAGGTGAGGAAGGAGTGTTCCAACAAGGGTCGTATCTTCTACAAGTGTCCGGATCGCAATGTGAGTTATTTTGTCGCATTTGATGATTATGGTTAATTTATACTTATTTTCATGATGATTGTGATTAAAGTTCTATTTTTGTTTTAATTTCAAAGTGGGATGGCTTTGGATGTTCAGCTAGTCTTTGGGAGGAAGAGTATGTTGAACACATGCGAAACTCTCTTGCCAAAGTGACTACTGGTGATGAAGCGATGATCTGCGGAAGAAGCCCATAGATGTTGAACAAACGCATGATCTGTCTGCATTTTAGTTGGGATTGGTCATGAAATCCTTATGCTCTTTGAAGTGCATTTTAGCTTTAGTTTTTTTAGGCCTTGTTTAGATTGCAAGTTTTTTCACTCTCTCTCCATCACATCAAATCTTTGGATACATGCATGGAGTATTAAATATAGATAAAAAATAACTAATTACACAGTTTGATTGTAAATTACGAGACAAATCTTTTGAGCCTAGTTAGGCCGTGATTGGACAATAATTGTCAAATACAATCAAAAGTGCTACAGTGCCAAATACTGATTCCTAACCCCAATCTAAACAAGGCCTTAGTTGTAGTTGGGATTGTCTACATTGTAGCGAGACTTTCATAAATTAATACCTTGTGTGGTGGCATGCATATCGTATAATTAACTAATTATGTTTTAGGTTTTAATATGGTATGTATGTCATATAATGCATATGAGCCGGCATTGGATGTACAATGCTGATCGTCTCTCCCAAGAGTTCATTGAGGGCGTGCATTCTTTTTTACGTGTGGCCGAGGCAAACAAACGCGATGGTTTCATGTGCCATATGTAAGAATTTGAAGGAATATGCTAGCTCAAGGAGTCTTCATTCACACTTGTTGAAGTCGGGTTTCATGTCAAACTATATTTGTTGGACGAAGCACGGAGAAACCGAGGTTGTAATGGAAGAAGGTGAAGAAGAACAATGGGACGATGATGACATTATTGCTGAATATGGTGCCTTCAATGATACTGCAATGGGGGAAGCTGAAGAAGAGGTAGTGGCAGAAGATGAGCCCACTGATGATCTTGGTCAGGCCATTCGTGACGCACAAAGAGAATGCAAAAGTGAAAAGGAGAAGATCAAGTTCGAGCGCATGCTAGAGGATCACAAGAAATTGCTATACCCAATTTGTGATGCGGGGCAAAAAAAGTTGGGTACCACACTAGAATTGCTGCAATGGAAGACAAAGAATGGTGTATCTGATAAGGGATTTGGGGAGTTACTGAAAATCTAAAAGAAGATGCTTCCAAAGGATAATGAATTACCCGTCACTATGTACGAAGCAAAACATGTAGTATGCCCTTTGGGATTAGAAATCCAGATGATACATGCATGTCCTAATGACTGCATTCTCTACCGTGGTGAGGAGTACGAGAAGTTAGATCCATGCTCGGTATGTCATGCATCGCGGTATAAGATCAGGCGAGATGACCCTGGTGATGTTGAGGGTGAACGTCCCACGAAGAAAATCCCTGCCAAGATTATGTGGTATGCTCCTATAATACCACGCTTCAAACGTCTGTTCAGAAACAAAGACCATGAAAATTTGTTGCGATGGCACAAAGAAGACCGTAAGGTAGACAATATGTTGAGACACCCTGCTGATGGGTCCCAGTGGAGAGCAATTGATAGAGAATTCCCGGAGTTTGCAAATGACGCAAGAAACTTAAGGTTTGCTTTAATTACGGATGGTATGAATCCTTTTGGGGAGTAGAGCAGTAGTCATAGCACTTGGCCTGTTACTCTATGTATCTATAACCTTCCTCCCTGATTATGCATGAAGCATAAGTTTATTATGATGCCAGTGCTCATCCAAGGCCCAAGGCAACCTGGCAACGACATTGATGTGTACCTAAGGCCACTAGTTGAAGAACTTCTACTTTTGTGGAACAGACCAGGTGTACATGTGTGGGATGAGCACAAACAGGAGCACTTTGACCTGCGAGCATTGTTGTTCGTAACAATCAATGATTGGCCTGCTCTAAGTAATCTTTTAGGACAATCAAACAAGGGATATAATGCATGCACGCACTGTTTTGATGACATTAAAGGTATATTCTTGAAAAAATGTCGAAAGGTCGTGTACCTTGGCCATCGTCGATTTCTTCCTACGAATCACCCCTAAGAAAGAAAGGCAAGCATTTTAAAGGTAAGGCAGACCACCAGACCAAGCTGGGCAACCAAACTGGTGAGGATGTACTCAATATGGTCAAGGATGTGAAAGTAGTATTTAGAAAGGCACATAGCAGTGAACCTGTTTCGAACGATGCCGATGGTCACGCACCCATGTGGAAGAAGAAGTCCATATTTTGGGAGCTACCCTATTGGCAAGTCCTAGAGGTCCATAGCGTGATCGACGTGATGCACCTGACGAAGAATCTTTGTGTGAACCTGCTAGGCTTCATGAGTGTGTATGGGAAGCCTAAGGACACACTTGAAGCACGACAGGACCTGCGGTGTTTAAAAGAACGAGACAACCTACATCTAGAGAAGACAGATGATGGACGCCATTACTTAAGTCCTTCCAGCTACACTCTTAGCAAAGAAGAGAAGGAAAGCATGTTTGAATGCCTAGCAAGCATCAAGGTACCATCTGGATTCTCCTCGAATATAAAGGGTATAATAAATGTGCCAGAGAAGAAATTCCTAAACTTAAAGTCCCATGACTGCCACGTGCTCATGACGCAATTGCTTCCAGTTGCATTAAGAGGAATTCTACCTCCAAATGTACGTCTAGCCACCGTGAAGCTATGTGCATTCCTCAATGCAATTTCTCAGAAGGCAATCGATCTAATGGATCTAGCTCAACTACACAATGATGTGGTTCAATGTCTTGTCAGCTTTGAGTTGGTGTTCCCTCCTTCCTTCTTTAATATCATGACACACCTCCTAGTTCACCTGGTCAAGGAGATTAGCATTCTCGGTCCTGTGTTCCTGCACAACATGTTCCCCTTTGAGAGGTTCATGGGAGTCCTAAAGAAATATGTTCACAACCGTGCTAGGCCA